GCTTAGACTGCTGGAGGACATAGGGACCCCTTTTTCATCATTCTGCTTCATTCTATCTGACTGAAATGAACTCACAGGTGATGGATTTAATTACGGTTAATAAAGCTTTTCAGAGGAGCAGACTCTGATCGGGTCAGGTTGATCTGAACCTCTAACCTCAGATTAGAGCAACTTAAACTCCTTCGCTAAGGAACAGCTAAACATCAGGCCCTAATTGGGTGTGACGTCGGTGTTACCCAGGCTGAAGGCGCAGATGTTGATGCAGCAGCAGCAAACCGCCGTCAGGCAGCGGATGGCGAGGAAGAGGAGCGGCTGAGGAAAAACGGCAGGCAGCAGGCCGCAGAAGGCGTGCAGACAGGCGCACGCCAGCAGAACCGGACGCTTCCCGTACCTGCAGACGAATCATCCTGCAGGTAAGAGAATGAATGACCGTGCTGACGGGATATGAGTGAGTGCAGGTGGGTGTACCTGTCTGAAACGGCTCCTCCTACCAGAGATCCCAGCAGCAATCCCACCATGTAGGCAGTTTGACCATAAGACAACCAGTCTGTCCAACCGCACACTGTCTGACACAGATACATGTCTGATCAGTGAGTGATGAACATCAGGGGGCATTTAAAAAAAGACATTTAGGTAGAAACTCAGTAAATCTCATTTGAGTTTCTGCTCCATAAAAACAGGAAACTTTCACCTCCTGTCAGAGTCTTAATTGGTATGACTGAGTCTTTTTTTTTATTATAAAATTACGAGAGTAAAGTTGTAAAATTAAGAGAATAAAGTCTTAGAATTTTGAGAAAAAACCATAAAATTACAAGAATAAAGTCGTAAAATGACAAAGTCGCAATATTACTAGAATAAAGTTTTAAAATTTAGAGAATAAAGTCATAAAATTACGAGAGTAAAGTTGTAAAATTAAGAGAATAAAGTCTTAGAATTTTGAGAAAAAGCCATAAAATTATCAGAATAAAGTCGTAAAATTACATAAAGTCGCAATATTACGAGAAAAAAGTTTTAAAATTATGAGAAACAAGTTGTATTTTATAACGACTCTTACTAGAAGTACTTTCTTCCCTAAAATGAGGAATGTGGTTTATCTCAAAATAAAAATAAAAAAATTTTAAATCTCTATCCTGGCCCAAACACTCCGAGGTATTATCTGAGCTCAAAGATGCGTCTAACTTTAACAGGTCACCTTTCATCTGTCTATAATGTGAAGCTATCATCTCTGCTAATCAAAGCTCTGCAGCACCTGGTTCTAAAGTGAGTTTAAAAATTCATAATTTTAACATCTGGGTTTAACATTTCAGGCGAAAATCTAAAAAGTTATGTAAAAGTCCCTGGAGTAAAGTCCGGACTGTAAACCTTTGGAACTTTATTTATTCATCAGGGAGGACATTCTTCAACACATCTTCGTTTCTGTTTAACAAATCAA